CGAATGGATGAAGAAGTACAGAATGAAGGAATGGATAAGAAGGTACTGAATGAAGGAATTGATGAAGTAGTAAAGATTGAAGGGATGGATGAAGGAATGGATAAAGAGGTACAGAATGAAGGAATGGATAAAGTAGTAAAGGTTGAGTTAATGGATAGTGAAGGAATGAATGAAGTACAGAATAAAGGGATGGGTAAAGTAGTAAAGATTGAATTAATGGATAGTGAAGGAATGAATGGAGAAGTGCAGAATGAAGGAATGGATAGAAAGGTAGTGAATGAAGGAATTGATAAAGTAGTAGTGATTGAAGGAATGGATAATGAGGGTATGGATAGTGAAGTACTGAATGAAGGAATGGATAGTGAAGTACTGAATGAAGGAATGGATAATGAAGTACTGAATGGAAGGATGGATGAAGATGTACTGACTGAAGAAAACAATCAAAGGATGTTCTATGAAGAAGTATTACCTCCTGATGCTTTTCCTGCCGGAAGTCTGAACTCTGCTCATTCACGCATGTCTTTTTACAAATACGCAGGTTAGTTGTTTTTCTTTTACATATTTCTAGCGATTTATTCATCCCATAATTACATAATTTAATTATATAAACTTTTAGGTCAATTTTTATGTTCGTAATGAATCATTTATTATGTTTATTAAATGCACATGTCAATTTACAAGAAATTATTTGACTAATAGGTTGGTATTTTTGGTTTTCATTCAACTTTTATGTTTCGTGAAAAATCAGTTCTTGGATTTTGAGGTGTTTATATTTAAGTAATGTGGTATTTATTTGATAATTTGGGGACAAAGTAGCCTTATCATTGTGACGGCTATTCACTTAGTAAGTATAATTTACAAGACTACATGGTGCATTGCAATTTTTGTGCTAGTATTATAGCTCTTTATATCTTACAGCTAAGTAATCTGGATTTTCTGTAGAAAAGATTTCCAAAAGATTCTACAAAATACAGTATTGCTGCTCATCCCGAATTTCAGCGCATATGATTTGTACTTTGTAATCTTTAAATTTTTCGAAGGACATGAAATTAATATAGAATGAATTTAGAATGAATTTGGTGACTAGATGTTTTCACCAACTTTTAGTACATTTAACGCAGTCGTGATCAATAAAGTTAACTAAATTTTGATGTTCATTTTCATGTCTTAACACACATCTGTATTTTCATTACAGGCTTGCAAGTTTGTAGGTATAACATCAGATGTTTTGCGGAAGCGTCGTGAAGAAACGTGTGCTGCAATTCGGGCTGAACAGCGTCAAGATGATTTAAACAGGCGACGTCAGATTAACCATGTTGTTACAGCGAATGAAGAACGTGAAGCAGTAGGATTTTTTATAGATGCTTATTATTTTAATAGTCACCAAATACAAATTGATAGATTTCCGGTTGATTATATGATTTACATCGTTTGGGTTGCTCTCAAATGAAATGAAAATTTTCAGGGCAAATATTGTAATGAAATATTATTGAATTGTGAATACTTCATTTCATCCAGTGACAGAAGTTTTACTTTTTTAGTTCAAGTTCTCTATATAAAGAGCAACGTTTTTTACTAATTGAGAGTCAGTAATCAAAATTTAATAAGTGTATCCCAGTGCAAAATAAAAATTAAAATGTATAATGATAAAAAATTGGAATACATTCAAACTTCTACAAAGACTACAAAATCAGATATGTACGGGAGAAATAAAGAGGGTTGGTAATGACTTCTATGGAGTAACCTATATCGACATTGAACAGATTTTGTATGAGTACAATTATCGATTACGTGAAGGTATCTTTTCCTTCTAATTTGTATCTTGTATTAGAAGATATTTTGTGCATGTTTACTGTATTCATATTCAGTGTTTGTTATAAACAATAATTTAAAAGTGATTTTTCATTATAACATAGAACATTTGCTCAAAACTTGTTTTTACGCAGCAAATATTATAGGTAATGCTGGTGAAATAGCCGAAGAAATTGTTCATTTGAATTTAGTACCGCACATAATCGAATTGTTGAGAACGGGAGCAAAAGTTCATATTCATCGTACTGCAGTTTACATAATTAGCACAATAGTTGCTCTCTCTACAGCACATACGGCAAAAATTGTTGCGAATAATGCAATACCATATTTAATTAATCTGATAGGGTAAGCGATTCTTCATTGTCGAGCAACTTTTTTAATTTTTTTAAATTAATTAACTAGCATAAATTTCTTTTGTATTACAATTAATTGAACTGGTTTCGAAACATTTTTGTATTTATAGATCTGAAGATCGTGAAACCCGAGAGTTAACGTTGTTTGCTTTGGCAAACATTATTTCAGAATCTCCTATGTATAGAGATGCTTGCATTAGATGGGGAATTGCTCCAAAAATTGCAGCAGTGTGCAATAAGTATTATTTATTCCCATAATTTAAAAGTTTTGTTGTCTCGATGTTCAAAAGTCAATGATTTAATCAGGTTTTCTGTACTTTGCAGATTTACGATCATAGAAGCAAGATGTGCTGTTTGGACTGCATCGAATTTATGTCGAGGAAATAATCCACCTGTTGATATTAACGAGGTTAGGGACCAGACTACTTTTATAATACTCATGGAATGAAAGCACTAAAAACTTCTAATAAACAACAAAGAAAACATTGATGATGTTGATGATTGAGAAGCTTTTGTACAGTTTTAAGTGTCATTTTGTAACCATAGTTTTAATATCTTAATATATTTCGGATTATTGCATACCTTTATCAAAAAATGAGTTACTGATTAAAAGCTTGGTTTTGCTAAAACGTCTGAGACATTTTGCAGCTCATATTGAAGTATTACTAGTTAATTTATAGAATTATCGTATTTCTAACACATCAGTTCATGGTATGGAAAAAATTTTGATTCTTATAAATTAAATTCTGCAAGATTTGTTACCTAATTGCAGATCGCAATTTTGTTGCCGTTATTTAGCGAAGCTTTGCATAGTTCTGACTCTTTAATCTTGTTAGACGCATGTCGCGCGTTTAACTGGTTATTTGAATCCATTCCTATGAGATCTTTCAACTGTGTTGTAAAGCCAACTATTACCCAACGGTTGGTAAACCTTATAGCGCATCAGAATCCAAAAATATCTTTGGAAGCATTATTGGCTGTTGGAAATATTATTCTTGGAGGTCATTTTTATCTAGAAAGTAAGTTATAATTAGCTTTTGGCTTTTATTTGTTGCATCATAATAACTATTTAAGCTTTTCAGCTTTTATTAAAATGGATAGCAGATAAAAATAAAGATTTTATTCTTCAAAAGCTATTCACCTTGTGCTTATGAAACTCTACATTTAATTAAATGACTTCTTAAATTATGATAAATTGCTGTTTATTAGCAAATAACATGAACAGTCGATAAGTTCAAATATTATGATTAAAGGTGTTGTGAGCTGTTGCAATTCAATGGTCAACATTCATAATTTACTGCGGGAAGGTGATCAAGAGACCAAGCGAGAAGTATGTTGGGTATTATCAAACATTATATCCGGTGCATATTCTCATACTCAAATAATTTTTGATAATGGAATAATTCCGTCGTTGCTTAAGATTTCAAAGACACAAACTTTTCACGTTCGCGTAGAAGTAAGATTTTCATTTTATTTTATAATTTCATCCTTTTATTGATCGATTCATGACTTCTAACTAAAGTTTTCGATAAAAATTTTACCTTGAAACTCTTCCCATTTTATTCAAAATAGTTGAAGTTCATCATACCAAGGTTCAAAAATTTATTATCATAATTTTTCATCTAGATTTAATAAATGTTGCCATATGTAACTTAAGTTGGCATCAGTGGATGAACTTGCAAGGTGAAGCAAAAGCTGTATGAAAATATTTTAAATCGTTCTATCTCAACTTTAAGGCTTGTTATGTTATTTGTAAAATTGCTATGAGTGGTCGGAAAAAGCAAATATCAGACCTTGTTGAAGCCGGGGCGCTCGCTCCTCTCAGCGACATGCTTACTGTAATGGACACAAGAGTAGTGCTTTTCGTTTTGGCAGCATTAGATCGAATTCTAAAGTGCGGTGAATGCTACAAAGGTCATGTTGGACTTTTTTAAAATATATATATCTATTATTTATTACAGATATTAACGCAGCATCTTTGTATTTAATGCAGTCATAAGTGCGTGCAGCAACTTTTATTCATCACTATATTTCAAAAAAAATTAGTTTGTCTTTTGAGTGAGCCACTTGCAGACTTTAACTATTACCGGACTTCACCTTAGACACTTATTTTTTAATTATTTGAGTTTGTATAGACTCAAATAGTTAAATATATGATTATTACAAAAATTTATATACATTTGAAATTTGTAAAAAAATGGTTTCTTTATTGTTCAAATCATTATGTTATTAGACAATTAATTTTTTTAAGGAAAGGCCATTGCTGAAGATTGCTTTAAAAAGTACTATAATTTTTTGCATTTCTTGTAAGTAAACTTGAAGATATCTTTGGAACTTTGGTAATTAGCAATACTAGAATAGTCTATGCTCCTCATAAAGATTTGTTTATTTATTTATGTTTATTTTGCAGCTCACGATCGCAATCCGTTTCTCATTATATTGGAAGATTTGAATTTTGCTCATAAACTTCGTTTTCTGATGGCGTGAGTAATTATATTCGAGAAGTATTTAAGCTTGTTAATTTAAAGTTTATCGGAATAGAAAATATGGTTTGCTCAATCTTTTTCATTTTTTACTGAAATTTCACGTCATTAATTAATGTGGTTTTCAACATAAATTCTAGCCAGCTGCCAAAATTCTAAATGCAGATGTGTGTAAACTAATTGGTTTAGGAATTTAAGATAGCAGCATCTGAAATGATCTTATTTTTTGCAGAAGCCCTAACATGGAAATATCAATTTGCGCAACTCATCTTAACAGCAGATACAGCAGGTATCACATCACGGACGATGACCTTTTCCATTAAACTCATTGCGGCTTTCACGTACTGTTGCGTCACCTCCAAATTTTGATTTTAATGGCTGGTCTTCCGTCCTCTTCTGATTCATAGAAATCACTAGCTTTCTTTTGTATATCGTTTCGTAAGATCGACTTATAAGTTTTACCGTATTGTTTCATCACTTAAGTGAACTAACCGGTGCGACTATTTAAAGTTAGCCATATGCCACAATGGTTTTAAGATGTCATTGAAAAATTATTTGTATATTTAAAAAGTTGCATGACAAATAAAAATAGTTGGAAAGAGCGTATTCAGATGCATCACAAACTTTTTACTATTTCCTGCTCGTTGTATTTTAGGCTTTCACACTTTCATAGGATGTCCGGAAGCTTGTATACGAATCGAAACTGACTTTTATTGAAAATCAGACAGCGCATTTTTTTCGAACTGTATTCATAAAGTCAAAATATAGTTCTTTGAGTGGAGCAAAATAGTAAAAGGAATTAATTATTACCTGTTTTTTATGGAAACTATGAAATCTTTAGATTGTTCACAATTGTTAGGAAAGAACCATTTATTTTGATTTCGTTACCTTCGGTTAATCTTAGCGATAGGGAAAGTGAAGAGTTGTGATGCTTGAATTTTTGTA